ACATCCAATGGTACATCATCTGTATTTTACATGGTGTTCCCACCACCAAAATTCTGGTCTCTTTCCATCACCATATATTTGATTCCATTTACCCCTTACAAAGCCCCATTCTCCTTTCTGCTAGTAACCACCACACTGTTGTCTTTGGCTGTGGTTTTTGCAAAACTATTTATTCTTTTATGCGAATATGTTGTTCTGTGGGAGTGTGAGGTCAGCTCTTGCCAGTGGGCCTGGAGCATGTTCTCAGGCAGAAGTGGTATCTGGACCTGCTGTGCTCACACCAGCCTGGTAGTCTACCCACTCACTTAAGAGTCCAGGAGCCCTTCATTTCCACTTTCTCTCTCAAAAAGAAAGAATTTGGGGGTTTGTTTTGGTGCTGCATATATTGTTGACAACCACTAAATTCTTCAGTAAGGGGCCTGAGTTCTGAAACTGTAAAACTAAAGAGAATAAGGTGGAGCTGATCTTAGGGTATGGGAGCCTTTGACAGTGAGGCATTGCTGAGAGACAGGGTCAGGCAGAGTTTAAAGGTCTTTCTGAAAAAGCCATCACTTCACTCATCAGCAGCCTCTGTAGTCCACCTTGGCCAGACATGCAGTGGCGGTGGGAAGGTTTATTCTAGTAAACATAACCTCAGACATAAAGGAAAATCTCTGGGATGCTGAGTGGATGGAACATGAGGAGGGCAGGAGGAAAGGTGGAGGAAGGAGAACGGTGTTGTGTGAGATTCCTACGGCTGATATAACACAGTACTCCTAACTGTGTAGCTTAAAGCCACAGAAACGTATGGTCCCATAGTTCTAGGGCTCCAGCATCAAAAGGTTGGCAGAGCCACTCTCTCTCTCTGAAGGTGCTGGGGAGGATCTTTGCTGGGTCCTGCTCCTTGTGGCTGCTGGCAACCCTTGGAGGTCCTTGGCTTGTAGATGCATTGCTCTCATTTCTTGACTGTTGCATTTTACAAGGAGAAACCAGGCTATACCGGAAACACAGTGTATTGCTTTCAATCTCTTCTTTCCACCCAGTAGTAGAACATAACTCAGCGACTTCTCTCCCACATTATATCAAGTATCACATTTCTTCCAGTGTCCAATATCACGGTCCTCACTTTGAACTGAGATCTCACCTTTAATATTCAAATTCCTAACAACAAACTCTTCAAGGATATCAAAGATATCTAGGCATTCTCTATAAGTTGCCCCAGAATACTCCCAGTGTCTATGCATTACCCAATTCCACAACCACACCCATATTTTAAGCATTTCTTTTACAGCAGAACCCCACTTCCTGGTATAAACACTGATCCTATAAAGTCAATACGCCTTTTTAAAGATCAGTAAAGGGAGTTAGAGAGAGGTTAACCTATCCACATGTGGTAGGTTGAAAATTACACCCCCCCATCCTCATATAAGCATTCCTAATCCCAGAACATATAAATGTTACCTTATTGCAGAAGTGATGAAGTTAATGTTTTTGAGATGGGGAGATTATCTTGGATTATCTGAGTGGGTCCTACATGTAATCACAAAGGCCATCAGAAGAGGGAGGCAAGATCAAAGGAGGAAGAAGGCAATGTGATGATGGCAGCAGAGATTGGAGTGATGTGATCACAAAATAAGGGATTCTGCAAGCTTCTAGAAGCTGGAAGAGGCAAGCGATGGATTCTTTCCTGGAGATATTTTCAGCCCTGAGGATACCTTCATTTTATCTTCATAAGACTAATTTCAGGCTCCGGACCTCCAGAACTCTAAGAAAATTAGTTTGTATTGTCTCAGGAAACTAAATTTTGGGTAATTCGTTATGGCAGCAATAGGCAACTGATACACCAAGGTTAATTGTGCATTATGGAAGTGTCAGGACAGTTCAAGAAACCATTCCTTTCACCTCCTGTAATTATTTTTGCAAAATTGTAATAATTTTGAGTTTTGGATTTATCTAGGACATAGCAGCAGAAAAATCCTTCAACTCCACAATGCAGACTTTGATAGAAGTTAAAAAAATGTATTTTTATAGCCCCAATCTTTAAAAAAAATCCACATATTTCCAGGTTGACATGTATGTCTATGATGTAAAGCATAATGGGGGAAAAAGAATAATAGGAAAATGTAAAAAACGAAGTCATGTCTTTCTCTACATTCATCTCTTTCCTTCCGACTATGTGGAAGAAGCAGCATCCTGGGGGAGGGGGGAGAGCACCTTCATGGAGTTGCAGGTGGGGACCAGCAGTAGAGAGACAGGTGGCTCACAGCAGAGCTGGATGTGGAAAGGAGCTCCTAATGACAAGGCACATGGCCAGCTGAACAGTATATATGGGACATGAGGCAAAATCCCTTCTATCAAAAGTTTCCTAGAAGGAGGTTCACGGTTGGGAGCCGTGTTCCAGATGATCCTCCATGGCCAGTGACCTCAGGGCTATTAGCATTCAAGACCGGAATCCTATTTTCTGTAGCATCTATGGATTCTATGTCCCTCTTCCCTTTTGGGAACGTATGATTGTTCCTGGAGAAGCAATTAGTTGTCCCTGAAAACATAAAAGGCAGCTACTTACAGAAGAAGTTTCATTCAGGGAATATGGAGAATGAAGTGAAACTGGGGCAGTGCCGGAGGTGTTTTGATCTGGAGATGCAGTTCTGACTCTGCTCTGGTCTCATCCTATCTAATAATAGACAACCATGGTTATTAACCATACCTCCACTATGCTTCGCATTGGCTAGTCAGCAGGATATGCAAATTAACGGCCAACCAAGATGGCGGCCGGCAGCCACGCAGCTGAAGTGAGCATGAGGCTTGATTGCCCTGGCGATGGAGGAAGCCAAGGTTCCCCGCCTGCCGCCGCCCAGCTCTGCGCTCCGGATGCAACAATGTTGCAATTATAGAAGCTAAACAAACCCCAGATACCTGCTTTCAGCCTCCGGCCTCAGAGCTGGAGCCGCAACAAAGTTTCAATTACAGAAGGTAAATAAATCCCAGAATAAAAAAAAAAAGAATGAAAAAAGGAGAGACTGGGAGCTTCAGTTGCAGGCTTGGCCTGCCTAAAAACAGCCCTCAGCCCCTCATCCAGTCTGACCAGGCACCCAAGTGTTGACCCCCACCCTGAAAGGGGTGCAGGCAGCCTGAAAACAGCCCTCAGCCCCTCATCCAGGCTGGCCAGGCACCCCAGTGGGGACCCCCACCCTGAAGGGGGTGCGGGCAGCCTGAAAACAGCC